TACTACAAAGTCGCCAGTTCTCAGCTTCCAGCTCCACAGATTGCTCCGCGTACTAAAGTTGTACTAGAAAGTCGCCAGTTCTCAGCTTCCAGCTCCCCAGCTACTCCGCATACTAAAGCTGTACTACAAGTCACCAGTTCTCATCTTCCAGCTCGCCAGATACTCCGCGTACTAAAGTTGTACTACAAAGTCGCCAGTTCTCAGCTTCCAGCGCTAAAGTGATACTACAAAGTACACTTCTCGCCTGCATTTCGCGCACTCGACCCGCGCGATCTCCGCAAAAGGTTGCGCGCGCAGCCGGCAAATCGCACTCTCCCCTGCATTTCGCGCACTCGACACGCACGATCTCCGCAAAGGGTTGCGCGCGGACCGCGGACCCGGCGCGTCGCACTCTCGCCTGCATTTCGCGCACTTGACACGCACGATCTCCGCAGAGGGTTGCGCGCGGACCCGGCGCATCGCACTCTCGCCTGCATTTCGTGCACTCGACACGCACGATCTCCGCAGAGGGTTGCGCGCGGACCGGGCAAATCGCACTCTCGCCTGCATTTGGTGCACTCGACACGCACGATCTCCGCAGAGGGTCGCGCGCGGACCGGACAAATCGCACTCTCGCCTGCATTTCGCGCACTCGACACGCACGATCTCCGCAGAGGGTCGCGCGCGGACCGGACAAATCGCACTCTCGCCTGCATTTCGCGCACTCGACACGCACGATCTCCGCAGAGGGTCGCGCGCGGACCGGACAAATCGCACTCTCGCCTGCATTTCGCGCACTCGACACGCACGATCTCCGCAGAGGGTTGCGCGGGCACCCGGCAAATCGCACTCTCGCCTGCATTTCGCGCACTCGACACGCACGATCTCCGCAGAGGGTTGCACTTTCGGTTGACGCTGTTCGTCCTTTAAGAGAGAATTTAAAAAGTGGGGAAATGTTTTTTCATTAGGACATCTCTCGTGCTAGTTGTTTTCCATACTCACACTTGCCTACTCATTGCATGCTTGCATACTCATTGCATGCTTGCGTACTCATCATTGCACTTGCATCATTACACTTGCATACTTACACTTGCATACTTACACATGCATTACACTTGCATACTTTGACACTTGCATACTTTGCACTTGGCTGCTTTCGCTCTTCCACTTACACTGGGGTACGTATAGCGTTCATGTTGTCGTGCAAGTGTGGTGGAAGTGTCAGTGTGGAAGTGTAAGTGTCGAAGTGTCAGTGTTCAAGGGATTTTCCGGAAGAACCCTTCGCAATGCTTTCACGGATCGAACTCGCCGAACTCTCCCACGCGAACCCACCCGAGACCGTGGTCACGGGCGCCTGACTCTTTGGTCACGGGCGCCTGGCTCAGCTCTCGCGTCGCGGCGGGTGCTGGGGTTTCACACCGCGTCCCGGGATGCTGGCGGCGGTGTGGTTGGACTGCGCGTGTGGTGACACCTTCCGAGTGAAGGAGGAGTTTGTTGGGAGCAAATGGATTGGGTCATATCCACCAGGTTTCAGTGGATGCTTCAGCAGGTCGACATCTCCCAAATAGTGACTGATGCTTATTCATGATTATTGAACGAATATTATAGGGGCATACCCTACCCAAATGCTCCATGTAAGCAATAAATATTTATGACCTACATTCACCACCCAAAACCACCAAATGCAGGCCATATTTGCAGAGCGTTTGGGCTAGATATCCCAAGATCGCGGATTTTACAGGTTGCAAAGCGATGGGGCATGAGAGGACTTCGGGAAGACCCCTCCCACGGAACGTTGTCCCAAAAGAATCAGAAAGACATCGACGAATTCGAAGCATTTTATCTAGGTTGGAGGCCATCGCTACTAGGGTGGAGGCCATTGCTACTAGGGTGGAGGAGGCCATCGCTACTAGGCTTAGCAGAGCCTTCCAGTCTCAGTGACCCCAGTCCAACCAGTCTAGATTCTGATTCTGCGAACACCCTCGGGTCATCAGCGAGTCTAGCACCAGAGGAACAAACACAAAAGACCGCCTCCACAGATGGTCGAATTGGCAGTGGCCTGGGCCGACACAGTTGTGGCTTGTTTTCCGGCCGTTGTTCCAGGAAGGTTTGCCGGTTCAAATGTAGGAGGATCCCGAAGCAAGGTCAGAGAGGTGTCAGACTCTTTTAGCATGGCTTAAGAGACCTAAACTCAAACACCACAATAGGAAAAATTGGCTCTATAGGCCCGGATGGGCTATAGATGATACCTGCAGGTTTCAGAAATCCTTTGTATTCCTCGAATCATTCGGTGGTCTGACAGCCAGTGTTCAGCGTTCATGCCTCCACCACCCGGTGATCCACCGATTCGGGATGGGCGCCGGTGATCCCCCAGGCGACCGGCGTGCCGAAGCCGGAGTTCGGGCTTGCGGGGGAGTTAAACAAGTTTAAACCCCGTTCTGGCTCCTGGCCTACCTTTGTTGAGAAGATGGTTGGGGTGGGTGCCAAGGGAGTCTGTGCCCACCGGAGATGGGACAGGAGGTGTAGGGAACAAGAAGTTTCAACAACAAGGTGTTCCAACGAGTCGGTTGGATGTTGTTTTACCGCAGGGTGGGTGGATAATCCCTCCAAAACCGAGGCTCCCAACTCCATGGAACTGCGGGTATTTCAAGATCAAACAGCAAAGCTCCCACATGCTGCTGACTCCCCCAAAAAGCCCAACATGGACAGCAGAAAGACTGATTGAACCGTTGAAGGAGTGTTCAACCCCTCCTTCCCACGGTGAAGCTCGTTGTGGCGCCTCGTTTCCTCTGGGTTCTATACCGTTCGTCCTCAAACGAGACTTTGAATTCACTCCTTTCCACTGGCTTTCATGCCTTATGCATGCTGTGCAAGGCTCGAAGTGCACCAAATGATTCAGCCCAAAAGCGACACCTGGTGAGTGATTTCTCACCAGATGTGCAAACGCCGGTCACCAGGTGCCTTGAACCAGAACTGTACAGACGAGGTGCTTTACAGGAAAGGAGTGTCTACAAGAAATGCTTTAGGCAGGCCATCTGTACAGACTAATCACCGAAGAGAATGTGGAGACTCCAAGGCTCTACTATAGTCTCACTGGAGTTGTCAAAAGTCCCTGGATCCCGTTGTATCATATTCTGTTAGGATCTGTTAGGTGCATCTTGAACGGTGACAATCACACAAACTCTAATGTCCCGTGTACATTGGCAAAGTGGTGTTCGGACTATACTGCATGTCTTTGAGAGCAGAAACCATAATCACCTGCACTTTGAGAAAGCAAAAAACGTGACAAGCAAAATCTGATGAGATTGTATTAATCACAAACAAACTCAATCAAATCCAAGCCTCAAGTACCAGAACTTAGGTTCGGTTCATACATTTCTCCATGCTTTTCCTCCAGAAACATCCAGAAACTAAGGACATCTTCTGCAGCTGATACAACTGATTCTAGCTCAAAGCCTCAGGAGTACAAATTAGAACACAAAGGTCATGAATCAAGTCACCTCAGACGTCACTACTCTAATAGGCGTTGCAAATAGCTACTAGTAGCTTCTTGCTACTAATAGTAATGCCCTTGTTACTAGTAGCAATGCCCTTGTTACTAGTAGTTTCTTGTTCGTAGTAGTAATGCCAGGAGCTACTAGTAGCTTCTTGCTACTAGTAATGTCCTTGTGACATGCAATGACTCTGCGATAGGGCCTTGGTCTCCACCCAGTCTCCACCGCCCTGACTGCCGCTTCGCCGGTCGTGGCGGAAGCGGCCGCGTCCACATCGGCAGCTCCTAGAGGCGCGAGTCCATCGTTCAGTTCGTGGAAGTGATGAGAGAAATAAATCCCAACAAGCAACTCTGACTGAAGAAAACTTGCATTCCGTCCCACTATGTCCTACCCCATCTACTGTGGAACAAAGACATGGAAGACCACAATGACCCCTACATACCCTTGCCAGCAACATTGACGTCGCTCTCTTATATACTATCTCCTTTGGGGGGCCACCAACCATCCAAAAGCATCCCAACATCTCCCAAACCCTGACAAATATCTCAGGAGCCCTTGAACACCCCCCAAAAGCAAATCCACGTCCATGGCCCCGCAAACAAGTCTGTCTCCACGTCTGTCTCCACGTCTCCCCATCTGTTTCAGACGCCCCACGTCTCACGCGTGGAGCGGTCCTTTACACTTCATGAGTCACCAATGTGCCGTGGGTCCGGATCAAATGTGCACCGTGCCCCGCAGCATCCGGTGACCACCGGCCTGGACTCAGCAGAGGGGTGTGGACGGAGAGTGGGGGAGGTGATGGATGGGAGGGCCATGAGTTTGAAACCCCACCCTGAATGTGAAAGAGGTGCAAATAGATCCCAAAAAGGTGTTGATTTTTTTCATAGAAAAGCGAGCCACTAGACTAGATGTTCCTTTCGGGGAGTGCTTTTTCCCGTCACCGAACTGATGGAGGTCCCCCACCTTCCTTCTTTAGTGTTTCTTGAGGACACCAGTTATAATGATGTTGTATGCACGGTCCGGACCGTCAGAGAACTGTGAAGGCATGTGAAAGCTGGGCTGAAAGCATCGGCCCGGCCCGGCCGGACTGGCTGTGTCGCCCCAGTCCTGCCGGACCGACGTCGTCCTCCTCGACGACGCCGACCCGTTCGGACTCCGAGAGCTGGGCGAAATCGGAGGGAAAGCGACCGACCAGGTGTTTGGTCCTATGGGGAAAGCCTGGTGATCGCTGGCACATGACATCTAGTTGCACTTGAAAAAGGGGGAAACTCTCTCTCTCTCTACTATTAAGATATAATATAGATATGGAGAGGGTTTCATTACGGTTTCATCATTTCAAGAGATGAAGTGATCGACATCGACAATTTATACAGTTTGGATGGAATGAGACCCTAGCGGCCATAGCGTTCCAACTATCTCCTAAGTCTTTTGGAGACAAATGAGACAGGGGATCTCCGTGTTGCTTCAAGCGAGATAGCCCCACATCCACATCGCAGCATCTACCAACTACACTCGCGCAGCTAGGCTTGTCTCTCAACACCAACCGCTGAAAGGGACTCGATGGATCCAGCATAAAAATTAACAAAAACATCTCTCCCCTGCGATCGCCCCGAATCAACTGCCAACTGCAGTCGGTGTGTAGTGAAATTGGGAGATGACCCCACTCAAAAAATGGCTGCATTAGCTTCCCTGAAAGCTTAACCGAACCTTCCACCTCTTCGTCTTTAGCAAAGAAACTCCTCAATCCAGCCAACAATTGACGCATCGACTTCGGTAGGAAGACGCCTCGGAAAAAAGAAGGATCCAACATCGACGACGCGCCGGCGCGAGCGTTCCTCACGCCCAGAATCTTCTACCACAACTCCAGCAAGGTGCCCCGGTCCCGGTCCGGGACTGTCTTATCTTGGGGAGGTCCTGCAAATTCATTTGGATTGGTTGGGCTTTGAGCCTGGAGAAATTCCCACATGGTCCTGGTGCATTCGAATGATGAGTCTAAGAGCCCCAAAATGGAAGGGGTATTTTACAATCCAAATGTCTCTGATTTAACTGATCAGTCCACCCAAAAAAATCCAATTGATTTATACCGTGGGTTTGACGGAGGGTTTGGCACGACCAAACCGGGTCAACCCTTTTTGTAGTGGTCCACATGAAGGCAAAACAGATCCACCAACTCACCTTCCCGAAATCAACTCAGGCACCCCCGCCTTGCTCTCCTCCACCCGCCCCTTCTGCACTGGCTCCGTCACATTCTCCTGATGGTCCGGTGAGTCGTCGGGTGATCCCTTCGCCAGGACCGGACCCCGGAGCGGTGCGATTTGGACATGACAACTACTTGAGGCTTTTGCTAGACTTATTAGACCCTGAGGGTTCTGTGCACATGCACAGTCAAAGGATATAGTATGCTGAATGGCACTTCATTGGCATTCCCGCGAGGCAAAGCACCAATGTTGGGCCTGAAAAAAAAGTGAAATGGTGGAAAGCAGAGAAGACAAGTAAGTGTCTTTGCTCCTGACAAGTGAGTTTAAGAAGAACAACATGTATTTCAAGCAACACACAGACAGGTAATACGAGATGTGAAATCGAAATGGTCCCATCTTCCTATCTCCCTGGTGTATGTTCACCTCTGTTCACCAAGAGGAGCAAACAAGATGACAGATTCCTTCTTCCCCGCATTGCGCAGTAATTGCTTGTCTTTGAGTTCTACTTGGAATTTTCCAGTCCAACTCAAATCTCGTCGACTGACTTCTCCCTGCCCATGCAGTCTGCCCACCATCTCCAGGTTTTCCATAGAAACGCACCCAACTCTCATCTCTACCCGCTCGACCTCATCCGCTCCCGACCTCGCGTCGCCTTCGGGCGCGGCCGTGGTGCCTTGAAGATCCCCATGGGCCAGCCGAAAGGACCTCCCACAATGTCGCCTGAAACACCCGGTGTTTTTTCGACGGCAGGGAGAGAAACCAGCCTTTCTCATGCATTGTAAAGCTACTTCGAAGAAGAACCGCAGATAACCGCAGAGTGTGGGTAGGTGGGTGTGTCTTTTTTCATATGTGTTCCTTTTTAAAGGTTGATTTTGGGATGTGGGGGTTGTTTGGTATGTGTTCTTCCGCCTTCAAGGGCATGGATCCAATTGGATCGGATCCAAACCTCCAAGCTCCGATTTCGACGGATCTCGTCCGTCCCACACCGTCTGGACGGAAGAAGGTGCCAACGAGAGTTTGGTTGGAGAGGTGGTGTTCCACGAAAACTCATGATCTGAGAAAGAAAGAAGCAGCCAGGAGTCTTGAGCATCTGGACAGCATGCTTGAAGGTTCAATGGAGATGTTCGTGGGTCTAGGATGCCATGTCTGTAAGACATGTCATGACTTCATCAATTCACTCAGGATCCACGAACATCAATCTAATCAAAACTGTTCTTGGACCAACGATGGAGCGTTCCATCATTCCCCAAATGAGCAATTGCCAAGAGCCTCCTATTTGTGACAAAGGCAATCCCCTTCTTCGGTTTGGGGGATTTACTCCAAAACAGGTTCAACAAATACCAGCGCAAAGCCGCACAAGTCTGTACAGTATCTCTATCATTCTGAAATGGTCTAAATAAATCTTTATATGTGTCCTCTTCTGACATTCGTTCGTGTGACTGATGCGCATTCGATGCAATCACAGTCTTGAAAAGCGTTAACAAAAACCATAGTACTGTAAATGGTCTGCTCTTGTAGCGCAAAATCATTCAGAAAAACATAATGGTTAATGGTTGTTCCGTAAAATTGTTTTTCTTTTTTTTTTAATGCCCTAGAAGCTGAAGAGGTCCTCGGACCTCGCTTTTGGCACCAGCAACCCACCCACACTCCCACCCACCCATTTTGTTGTGGCCTTCTCCAAATCCAAACAAGCCACCCCTAGACCAGCGGGTTCGAGGTCAATCTGTTCGGAGCTTCCCCTCCCTGTCCCGCGGACCTGCACCGCCTGGAATGGGGCGCCAAGGGCCGCCACCTAGCGGTCCGATTGGAGGTCGGGAATAGCCCAGGCCTTCGAGCCCAGACACGACCCATGGGACTGCCATCGGACTGCCAAGAAACGGCCAGGGGTGGTGCCAGGGGGGTCCATGGGGCGGCATTCTATGGCAGTCCCGGCAGTCCCATGGAGTGTCTGGGATAGGGTTTAGGACCTTTAGGACCTTTAGGGTCTTAGGGCCCAAGCCAACAAATCACCAAGAGTCATCTTCATGACCCACTGTGAGTCGTGACCCACCCTGCTCACCCGACGGTCGTCCACCATGCAATGTTGAGAACCCACGTTTCGGACTGGTCAGGTTGCCAAGCGGTCAGGAACCACGCCACTCAGAGCGGCTGGGTTCCCGGGGAGAAAGCAAGGTCCTGACCCCTGGACCTGAAGGGAAACAAACCGACCAAAAACCATCGAAAGCACCGAACAAAGCATATACGTTGGAGATGATTGGGTCTACCCACCAAATAGTAGCTACACGTCCACATACTCGGCAAGGTCCCTAAGGTCTCTTGTTTCTCGCGCTGACTTGGTTTGTATTGATGTTGATCTGTTTCGATACAAAGATGCTGTTTGGTTTGGAATATGCTTGAGCCAAAGAAGGGTGCGCGTTTCGTGGAGCTGAGCACTGCTTCATCTGGGTGGTCGTGCTCTGTCTCTGGCAATGACCAAGCTTTGGACGAGGCTCTTGATATGGCCTCGTCGTTCGCTCTTGATATCCTCTCCAAACATTGGTGGTGTAAAAATAGAATTGTATTATACAATTGTACAAAAAGATGTATATATATAATATATATAATATTATATATATATATTAATATATATTACAATTATATCATGAACAACAACAACAACAACATTATCATATCATGCACTCTGCCAGCCCAACATCGGCGAATCGTGCAACACCCTCATGGAAGCTTTGCACCAGCGACTGGGTACTTCCTGGGACTTGTTACTGACTCCCTCAGTTTCAAGTCGCGCAACGCAACACGCGCGCAGTGTGTGCCATTTTTTGGGGGGGCATCCGAGCAAAAGTGCTTTTGGTGGGATTGCATCCGCACATGCCAAAAGCTTAACGATCTTCCTCTTCTCGGAAGGTGTCGGTGTCGCGCCCCGTTTTGGCTCCACGTCATGTCCTGCCTGGGAAGGGAATCACAGGCTCAGTTGGCTGAATGGGCTCTGGCTGCCAGACGGGGCCTGGCCACCAAAGGCACCGTTTCAAAACGAGAAAATCCAGAGGAACTTGAACCATCTGACTACGAAGTATATCTGATCAACGGACTGATGTGTTCCAGGCTGCTTTTGCAGGGAATCGATAGCTGTAGATTCATTCACTGTCATCTGATTCCATCTGATTCTTATCCATGACTCCATCATGCCAGGAAGCATCTGGAATTTCAATCCAGATCGCACACCTTCCATGAACCCCATCAACGCTTCACAGTCGCCGGAACCACTCGTTCGCCGTTCTGGCAGCCGGGAAGGGCTTGAAGGGTCGACCTTTGTATATTTCAACCCCCAACATGAGGTTTTACTCTCCATATCTGGGGCTGGTCTTAGTGTTCATCAAGAGTCTGCATAAGGTGAACCGCTCCAAGCTCTAGCTCTGTATTCATGCCCCGAGGAAGACAAAAAAAGACACGTCCAACTGTTAGGCGATGAACGTCACTTCTTGACGGTCGATTCCGCTTTCCCCAGACACGACCCATGGGACTGCCAGGACGGACTGCCGCCCCAGCCAGACCCCCCAAACCACCACCCCAACTGATCGGTAAATATACCATACATGGAGTGTTTGGCTTCTGTTTGTTCGTTTTCAGGAGCGGAGATCGCTCTTGGAAGACTCCTACCAGGACCATCCAAGGGGTGCCCGCTACACTACTCATGAATCTCTATTGGACACCCCTTGGATGGTCCAGGTATATAAAGATGATTAAAGATGAGTTATCCTGTTACAACAGGTGTTGGGTTGCTTCGCAATTACGCGAGTCGACCATGTTGAACATGTCCTCATTCCTAAGCTGTTGTCCCTTGATAGGAACAAGGACGCTACTAGTAGGGGCTTCTGGCATCGCTACTAGGAGCAAGGACGTTCTTCGTCGCCGGCAAGCCGAGCGCTTCCCTAGTGGGTCTCCGCTGACTTGTGCTTAGTAGGGAATGAGGGAGTGAACCCCCACAAGAGATGCCGAAACGGCCCCAGCCACCCTCATTCAGCCTATTATTCCTCAGACTTGTCTGCACGAGTCGGTCGTGCGACTGGTCGTGCCATGACTCCAAAGTCTGGGATCGTGCCATGACCCACCTCACCTTCAGTGGGATAGACCTCCGGGTCACTGGGCGGTGGATAGGCAGGCACGAAGATCACCTGCCGAAAGCTCGCGGACCGCAGACGGTTCGCGTGGAGGCTCCACCGTCTGCGGTAAGGTGTTGCGTGAACAGTCGACGGTGGATGTGTGTGAATTTTAAACCAGATCTGTTGGACGTTGGTTCCCAAGATCTAAACAACGATGACAACAACAAGACGCAAATGACAAACGGCCCGTCTTATGGATATATTATATATTACAATATATATATATTCTCCAATAGGTCTCCTCTCGTTTCAAGAGGCTTAGACACACGACCCGTTATTGGTCTGACCCAACCAAAGAAAGACAGAATGCTGTAAAGGGGTCGTTCGTCCACGTCTCTTCCGGCTGGTTACTGGTTGTGTTAACTGTCCAGTGACCCCGTGGTCCGGTGGTGCAGTGGCCCGGTAGACCTGGACACGGGGGCATACCAATTAGGTCCACCAGGGGTCACAAGACAGGGTGGTGTTTAGTCATAATGGGCACCCCTAACCTCCATTAAGCACCCCTTTGTGACCCCTGGCAAACAGAGCAACCACCCCGACAGTGGGTCCTGGTCTACGGTGACTGTGGCTAGCACGGCCTTGGTGGCTCCCATAGGCCACACAAGAAGAAGAGGACAAAGTGAGAAGACGTGGGACCTCCCTGTGGGCTCCTAAGGACGACTGTCTCACAAATGGCACATCAATGAGGATGCCTTGCTCCGCGAACCGACCGAACCGGGTGTCCTCCGGAGCGGAACCGAACAGCGGATCCCGACCAATCAAGCGGAACTGGGTTGAAACCCATGGTTTCACCGGAGTTGGAACCCCCCAAAAGCGCTCCCCCCCAAAAAATACACCGTCCCCATCCATTTCCAGACCCTCCATTGAAAATTGGAAGGGTTGATCATATCAGTTGGCTTGGAAAAGGAGTCAATGATGGTCACTTTGGGATTGCCTAGATGCTCTGCGATCGCTTCAAACTCGTCGGGCATCACCGCCTCATCCTACTAACCTGCGAGGAGTCACATGGACTTGGGTGGCTTTTTGTCCCATCGGGCCGTGGATGTGACAGGAGCACCCCGACATCCGGCACCCTCCGTTCGGAACTTCAGCACCCCGGCACCCCGTGACTGGTGGAGTCACCAAAGGAGTGGGTTTCGAGTCCGGCACCCCAGAGGAGCGAACCAAGACCCGCGCCGTACCATGTCATGGCCGGAAAACGTCGTGTCGATCCGGGCCTGGTGGGCGTCCAGGTCAAAGACGGTGTAGTAGAAAGCCTGAGGACGGCCGTCTGTTCCCGCGGTGGGTGGTGAAGGTCCAAGCGAAGTGACGTTCCAAGCGAAGAGACAGGCGTTGAAAACGGGAGCCAAGTCTCACATGTGGTGGATATGTCATGAATCATTACCCGCTTAGCTTTGTGCCAAAAAGAATCAGAAAGGACATCACAAGGATAGATGGGAACAAGGACACAAACATGTGGACAGAGCAGTTGCTAGTCATCTCCCCTGTGCCCTGCAGCAGGGCATAACGGGACTTGCTGTAGCTATATCGCCTCTATCTGCTATTTGGCTGCTCCAACCCAGCCAGCCACGACCACTGCGAACTCTTTCTGCGAAGCATTTCGGGCAGGAAACGGCCCACCGGCCCACCTGGAAAAGGTTCTTTCTCAGAGGCACACAGTCCCAAAAACGACATGTCCGGAGAGCGGATCAAAGGATGAGCCCAGTCCAGAAGGGTGTCTGCATGTGAACTACCCTGAAATTCCAACAACCCTGATGGTTTTAAGGGTCTGAGCCCCAAAGAACCATTCTTTTACTGAGGATTTTAGACTGCAAAACCAGGTCCAACCATTATTGTAATGGTCTTTGCCCGAACCGCGCCGAAGTTTGACTCTTCGGACCTCGTCGAGGCGGACATCGTCGCCGCGTGTGGAGAGCGGTTCTTGGATGGCCCAGGAACCCAAAGTGGAAGGCCCAAGATCAGACCATCGCCTGCTGCGCCGAGTGTACGACATGGAGGGCCAGACGAACGAGTTCTTGGAGTACATGGACGTCGTCCATGGAGGTGTGGCTCCACATGATGTGTTCTTTGTTTCATCGATCTTTCTGGGGTTGCGAGTCTGGAGTGGAGTATTGGGGCCGGAACATGATTTGTGGACCAAACCGATTTGTCAACCACTTCCATGTGTAAATGACTTGGGGACTCGGAGAACACACTGTGAATGGACAAATGCCAGCGCCTGACAACGACAAAAGCCATCGTTCACTCATCTTCCGTATCCATATGTACCTAGAACCTGCTTGACCCCTGTTTTGGAGCCCAAACATGGTCTTTTCATATCAAAACGCAGGTCAAACGGGTTCGAGGATGTTCTAGGTGTCATATATAATATATTTAATATATTTATAGTGGCGCAAGAACCCTTTCGTCCTCCCCAAATCTCTATGGCAATACGCGCAAATCATGGCAATTAAAGATAGAACCCTGCCAACACCTTTCGCCCACAAAAAATGAATTCCAACCCACACCAAAAACAAGGCGACATAACAAGATCCTATATAGTCTCACATACTAATACATGCTACTCATACTACTACTATATAATATATACTTTATTTCTATCATCTATTACCAGTAACAGTGGATGATGATGGTTCAGTTGCAGGGCTTGTTCAAACATAGTGATCATGATAACTGACTGTTTACGAACAGGTAATACTACTCATACAACAACGACCGTCCTCCCAACCCCCCCGGCCACCCAAGCGGCCTTTGTTGCCCTTGCTGATGGCGCCCATGTTGCTCAGCTGTTGCAAGTCGAAGCTCAACGTCGTTGGACCATTAGGGCCTCCACCAGACCGGCTGAAACACACATACACACACACCCAGCTGGAGGTGTTCGGTGTTCGTCCACGTGTCGTTTGGCATGGGGGACGTGACCGGGAGATATGTTTCTTCAGCTCTCTGACTTGGGGCGAGCTCGCTTCTTTGAGAATTCCATGGGAACAGAATGTGCGGTGTTCTTCCCGGGACCGGAATTCCAAGACCCTCAGGATCGTGTCACCACTCCACGTGCAGTCTGACTAAGGAATTGGAAGAGAAACATGATCAAGGAGCCTAGCGTGGATGAGGATCCATGTCTCAACATGTATCAACTCTCTCTCTCTCTCTCTCGAATCCATATTGAATCCTGTTGAGGTCCTCGTGCCCTTCTCAGAATCACCAACGAAAGGGTCTTTCGTCTGTTGGGGGCCTGTCTGGTCTACTATACGATGCTCGACTGGTATGGTCTACAATCCTGTCCGGTCATCCTGTCAATCTAAAACAGTTTCCCGTAGACCCGTAGGACCTTGAATTTGATCGCTCATCCGATCCGTCGACCACCCAGGGGTCGACAGTCTGCAGATTGAGATGAGTCCGCAAAACCCGGCCAAAGCCAGTCTGCAGCTGAGAAAACTCAGCTTATAGGCAGACAGCAAGCGCCATTGGAAAGATGGTTGTTCCATCCCTCAAATGCAGCTCTGAAGAAAAACAATACATCGTTTGAGCTTACAATCACCTGCCCCACTCGTGTTCCAGTCACTCGTACAAGGTCGCCCAACGGGGACAGCCATCCAACGACTGCTGCACGACCGAGGGATGAGCACAACTGCGTAGACAAAATGTATACCAGGGCCTCTCAAAGGCTGGTTAATGGACATCCCTTCACCTCGGGCGATTGTTAGACACCCCGTAGGGGGCCCCTGGTACAGCATTTACACTCCTTTTGGTCTCACCGGTCGGATTGGTCTTGTCCCCCGCTGTCCCACCCCAGCACCGGTGGTCCGAGCTGTTTTTCACTCACTTACGCGCCGTCAGCTGGCTTCAAAGGTACTCACCGCACCCGCGGATCTACAGTTGATTGGGTTGGGTTGGGTTGGGTTGATCCCTGTTGATATTTCAAGAACCTGAGCCGCTAGATGTTCTAGTCGAATTCTAGGTGAGGTGGTTTCAATCCAAGTCTCTTCGAATAGAAAATGGTACCTTCAGGAAAAAATGCCTAGAATTCAAGGTGGGGTGGAAAAATGACTCCTTCCAAAATAGCCCGTAGAACATGCTCTGTCCCGGCTCAGCTTCAAAAGTATCAGCGAGCCCCAAAAAAACAAATCTCATTTTCTAGGAGAACATTGACAGCTGCATAACAACCATGGAAGAACATCCCATGAAGTCAAACCATCCCTTTTTCGCCTGCATACCGGCATACCCGAGATTTCCCCTGAAGGGTCAGGTGGCATTCTCTAGTGAATCCCTGGGAATTTGATGAATGAATTTCCTTAGAAAATGAGTCGCCCAACATCTTGGATCAGATTTGTATTCCCTAGTGAGGAACCACTTCAGCACTAAAACAAAATGAACTCTTTTTTTTTGTGGGTTTGATGCTTAGGGGCAAAAAACTGTTCAGGAGGGTGGCCTGCAGAAAAAAATATTGTTCTAGTGGCTTTGATGCTTGAGGCAGGCATTTTTTCTGTGGGGTTGCCTGTAGGAAGTCATGGTGGTTGGGTCAATATTCTAGAAAACTGCGGCTCAATGCTTCAAAATATCAGCAAACATGTCCTTTTCTTCTTTCCTCTCTGCTTTCCCTAGAAAACTGTCCTGCTAGTCCATGTTGGTTGGTTGGTTGGTTTGTTTGTTTGCTTGCATTGTTTCTTTTGTTGACCCTTCTTATGACAACTGTCATTGAGCTGACCTCAATAATTAGACATGTTTAAAGGATGATGAAGTTGAACACCCTGAGGCCGTGGGTGAGGGAAAATCTCTCACTCCCAAATGCTCCGTTCACAACCCGACTGGTCCCTCAAAACCATAGGGATTGGTCGGGGCCCGACCCCGCGTCTGGGCTCATATGCTGTCACATGTCCACATCACTCCGTTGAATCCCTTCGCCTGACGTCTTCAGCGCGAAGAAGGCTCCACCCGTGGATGACTCCATTTCACCCATGTCTCCAACGACTCCAACCATAGTCCTTGCATGCTTTTGGATCGCCCCATGTAATGACTTCCCCGTCTAGACGGACTGCAGCAAAGCTCACAGCGCAGCCGAGAACGACCTGCACCCGCCGAAGTTGATCTTGTACGTGGCTGCTATCACCACCAAAGATCTTATCCCCCCACGTGACGACACGTCCATCCCGGCGGATCGCCGCAAAGGCCTCATGAGTAGCTTCAATCCGCGAAATCTGTTTCAAGTCCCCTTGCACCGAGCTGCTGTCGCCACCTTCCTTGGGATTGCCCCAGGTCACCACTCGTCCATCTGCAAGAACAGCAGCGAAGGCTCCAGAAGAAGCTGAAATCTGTTGAACGTTCCTCAGAACCTGGACGTCACTACTATCACCACCTGAGTATGCCTGGCCCCATGTAACAACTCGTCCACTTGAAAGGATGGCGGCAAACGCTGCATGGGTACCACAAATGTGCTGGACATCCCTCAGTTGGTCTTGCACCCTGCTGCTGTCAGCGCCAAAATTGGTTCCTCCCCAAGTCACAACTCGTCCATCCCCACGGAGAGCGGCAAATGCAGCAGCAGAAGCGTAAATGCGCCGCACGTTCCAAAGGTCTTTCTGGACTTCTTGGCTGTTCCCTCCCATCGATTCATCGCCCCAGGTCACTACACGCCCACCAGGGACCACAGCGGCGAAAGCACCACTCGTTGCATAGATCTGCTGGACCTGCGTGAGTTGATGTTGGACATCGGTGCTTTTCCCACCAAACTTTTCGTTGCCCCAAGTCACAACCCGTCCATCTTCCTGGAGAGCTGCAAAGGCATATCCTGAAGCTTGAATCTGTTTCACTCCTTCCAGTTGGGCTTGCACCTTCGTGCTGTCACCACCTGGGCTTTGCTTCACATAAAAATATACAAAGAGTCCCATTGTTAATCGAGGAGTAGGTCTGAGACTGAACAACAAGTCTTTAGTTTGAACTTCCATTGTAACCCTATAAACCCCCCCATCATTCGAGATGCAAACCGGTTCGGGGGGAGGGACCTTTTTGAATGAACTGTCTACTACCGGTTCGCCCCACGTCTGCCCCAGGTCGTTATCCCAAACACTCGGGACTGGAAACATTGGAAACAAAAGCGCCGCCCCCCCCGAAAGCGTCGACCCGGTATCCTCTCCTTCTGTTCGCTCCAAGCGTGCGACTCATCAGGAATTTTCGGGTAAAAATCCCAAGGTAAACCTGAACACTGAACCTTCAATCGTAAGCACTTTTGTCTAGCGAAGGACGCTTCAGGAATGTATCCCAAACACTCCATGTATGGTATATTTACTGATCAGGCCAGGGGTGGTGGTTTGGGGGGTCTGGCTTGATCGGCAGTCCGTCCTGGCAGTCCCAGACAGGTCGTGTCTGGGGAAAGCGGAGTCGGAGCAGATCATCGACCAGTCGAGTCTGGTCCCGAAGGGTCGGACCGTGCGGTCGAGCGCGTCGATTCATGTTCATCGACACGACCCGTCTGGGACTGGCATATGCTCCATACATTGACCCCTTTTTCAACCACCCCAACTGATGGGTTCGGTAAATATGCCAGTCCCAGACAGGTCGTGTCTGGGATCTAGAAATCATTCGAGTTGTAGATCCGCCTTCGGAAGGATTGATGTGAATGATGTGGGATCCGCGCGGTTCCGGACCATCTGCTTTCGAAAAACACTCGACGTCGTCAGGACGATTCACATCAATTCCCGGTCGTTCCGCTCACTCCGCCGCAGGTTTTTGGCCAGGGGACCTTGCTTCGAATCCCCCCAAGTGACCACTCGACGACCCGGTCCGTGGCCGCAGAGGGCGGCAAAGGCATAGCTGGTTGCCTTCACCTCCACCACCTGAGCGCCAAAGAGCCGTGTTTTGCGGCAGTCGGGTGGCTTCAGTCGGACACGCAGAATCTGGATAAACTCACCGAATTGCAACCCGCCTCTCTGTGTGGGCTAAAAATGAAGATTCCATTGTAAGCCTTAAAAAAATAGCACACACAAGCACCTTTACTAACACCCCGCAAACTATGGACCTTGAGAACTCCTGGTTTCAACCATTTTCCGAATACCAACCTACTGAGACTGCTTCTCAGGTTCCCATGTTTATCTTCCAGGTCATACATCCTTGTCCCAATTCGCGCCTGCTTGAGTTGCTTCCGTAGAAGCTCTGTCCATTCGCCTCCATACTTTTCAAGGCCCCAAATGTGAACGTCACAGCCATAATGCCAAAACGCGAAGGCAAAGTGGGTCGCGGTCAACTCATGTGCTTGAACCACGGCAGTGAGGAAACCACCCTCTGAGAAGCCATACAAGTTCAAGGGCTGCTGCGCCTCCAAGAGATCTCCTAAGAATCGCGCTGCGACAAAAAAGAAACGATGCCCTGTTTCGAGATTCGATCTGAATCTTCCCTGATATCTTATGTCAATGATGCCGTGACTTGCCAACTTGTGACGCAAAGTAAAAAAGAACTATTGAACTGATTTGAACTGTCACTATTCCAGTTGAAACTATCTTGCAAACCAAAGCTATCTATCTGGGCCTGGCGATGACCATGTGCACCAACTGTACCAAGCTCTAAAGCTTCAGGGTTGCTCCAAAACCTGCTTCCGAACCAGCAGGCCACTATTTGGTTGCTTTTGTCTTCAGCTTCACTAGCTTCACTTCACCCTACAAACCTCCCTTACTCCGGAGCCAAATATTACCTTGTAAACCAAGCAAATGGGAGACGACCACAAAACGTTATCTGGCTCGAAACGCGTAGAACACTTCGAGTCCAGCTTGTCAGCGAAGCCAACGTGCTTCAGGTCCATGAAGAATTCGCCCGACGAACGCGGCTTTACCCAGCACCAGCCACTGGTCCAGCAATTCCGTTGAACGAGAATCAAACAAGGATAACATGGCCTTGAGTTTGGAGAGGGAGGTGGCTTAAACCATCTTAAATAAACATGTTGACACACGCATGGCATGGCTGTTGAACTAGTCAGGGAATCTTCTGGGAAAGAATGTGGGTCAAAAGGCTGAGAAGAAAAACATCAAAAACTGTGATACCAGGCAAACACGGGCAAAAAGGACTTCTGCGACGCCAAGGCATCAGGCTTGGATCCCTCGAAGGCGTACCGCGCCCTTTCGCCCCTCAAAGGGTTCGACATGCTTCGACCTGTCTTCGACCCTCGGCCGAGCGGGTCGCGTCAATCAGCCAACTCCAGAGATCTCCACGGGACATGTCGCATCTGACCCCAGAGTCAACCGCTCCCCCCCCAACAATCGGATCGGTGCTCCATCGGACGTCCGGATGGAAACCAACGAAACCAAGGATCCATTCAAAGTCGCCAACAGCACACATTGCCTCGTCGTCCCGAGAGTCACGTCGTGGAAGGAAAAGGAACTGCAGAGTCACGTGGGGATTGGTGACCATGCCCGAAACAGCAAGTTAAAAAGGAAGTCAGTCTGTGTGTGTATACGTGCGCGTGCCTTTTTTTTATCAGAGCGAAATCGGCCTCGAAACCACTGAAAACCATTGAACAGAACAGCTCATAAAGGACCATCCAAGGGTTTACCAAGGAACTTGTAGGCTTACATTGGAAACCTTTTGGATGGTCTAGGCATAGAACAAAACCATCCCTTCTATCCGGGTCAGTCGCCTTAAGATCCTTTGGACCTCTGCTTGGAGCGTCTCACTCTTCTCCATGGGTTTCATATAGATCGAGATGCTTTCACCGCTGGGTATGAAGACCTGCGCCAGGTCGATCCAAATGGAACAACATCCGAGGTTTTTGCCTTGGTTGATCTTGGTTGGCTCTTTGTTGGCTTCCCTGCCCCACCTGGAACATTCTCAATTCAAGCACCTCCTCCATGGCGTCAGCACGAAGAGCTATGCAATCGTGGAAGACCTCTGCCTGCGATCGAGGACAGAGTCCTGCACAAGAACGAAGAAGATCCCAAGGACGGACTGCTGGCATCCTTCTTCAAAACTGGCACAGCCTCCTACTGCCTACCAACACTTTGCACATCTTTGCACTCAACACATATGTCATCCTATGTCCATCCCTTGCTGCTTTGCATCTTGCATCGCTCTGAAGCCAAACATGCAGGACCAACGCCGGTTCCACCGGTGTTTCAACCCATCAGGTGAAGCACCGGCAGCGCAAGAGGCCGAAGCACCTAGAGACCTGCTGAAGGGAAATAAGAAAAGATCCGCCCTGATCTGTTCTGAGTGGGAGGATTTCAAGGGCCCTCAGAGCCAGATATGAAAGTCTTGAACTTGGAAGTCGTTCCTTCAAAGAGATTTGCTTCCTCGGTGGCTTATAGGCCGGGATGATCCACTCACCTGGCATCCTGGGAGTCCTCCACCCAACTCGGAACTGCTTCGTGCGACGGGTGAATGGAACTGCTTAGTGCGACAGAACTGCTTAGTGCGCCGGTTTCCAAGACATTTTCTAGGTAGGGATTACTTTTCTTATCTATTTGGGGTTCTGTATATTGGATATGAATGGCTATCTTCTGCATCGTATACATACATACATCAGACATACATCATCATATGTCCTTAAATAGGATGCTTCGCCACCAACTGGGTACGTTCCCGCCATTAGGTAGCATTAGGTCTGCGGCCCCGAAAATACCCCCACTTGCAGGGAAAGCATGAGGAATTGCAGGCATATGCAGTATCACACTTGTAGGATTCGACCAACATGTCGGGACATGATATATGTATGATAGGTCAGGATGAGTCATCAGGCAAAAGAATCTGAAGAACATAAATATAGGTCAGTGGATGTTCATCCCGAAAAAAATCTTCACCAACTCGTCTGTTATTGATTGAACAATTCAACAACTTACAAATACTTACAGTGACCTCTTCTGGATGGAGTCCTCTGCCAGATCCCAACCAACCAACCGGGACGTAGAGGTCTTTCACGTGGTGCGAACGAAAACGCATTTGAGACGAAAGAGTAAGAAACAACTTGCAGACGCTTGGTTAAGAAACCCCCCTACTTGAAGAGGTGTTACAATCCATGTCTGGGGGATTAATCAAGAGTCTACCTGGGACAGGCCCGAGAAATCCTGAAATCCAAATCGATCAATTGAAGAATCTGAGAAGTCTCTAAAATCAACCACTACCGTTCAACCTTCAGCCCAATCCCAATTCATTCGTCCACAGCGTCACATAGCGCTTCTTTCCCTCCATGCACCAAGAACCGTATGTACCACGCTCAAAAACGGCCTGCCAGTTGGAAGCTGAGACTGCCAGAGGAGCTTTCCAGGAGCTCATAGGCCTGGCACGAGCCGACCGCGCTGCGGCGCCGCTGCGTCGTGGCAAAATGGCTCGGCGGGCGGAGCGAGGGTTTTTCGTGGTGGTCCCCAAAGAGTAGTCGTGGCAGGGTGCCCAGTGCATTTTCGAAGTGGGGATCTACCGGGGGGTCTAGATCAATCTCAACGGTCTATGGCTCTCTCAGTGGCTCTCTGGTCACTGCTCTCTTTCCCTTTCTGGCCATGGCAGGGCCTCATGACTCCTTGTTAGGTCTTGGTACACCAATGTTTTCTTGATCATTCCAGGTTGACCCTGCAGACTGGTTTCTTGAGGATTCATTCGGGTGAATTCGAGCCCGTTCTTGCCGGTGAGATTGATTTCAGCTGAGAAGGTAGTAAGCTCGGGGCCCCTGTCCGTTGGTCTCCATGTCGCTTGCATCATCTTGCATCTGAGCACCATGATGGCATGCCAGGTACACCATGCCTCCATCGGACTGGAATATGCCTACATCTCATCGGCAAATATGTCCCATGGAGTATCTGGGTTTGGAACTCTGGAAAACGCTTGAATCTAGAAGCCTCCAAGAGGTAGTCTTGGCGGAGAATTGGTCAGTTGGGTAAACCATATAGTGTGTGTTTCCTTCGTTAAACCTTGTGAGCCTATGTGAGCCTCTGAAACTCCGACTTGTGAGCCCTGTACGCTTTCACACAAGTGAGCCTCTGGTGGCAAGACGATGGCAGGGGTTCCGGTGTCCAAGATGCACCTCGTTCGGTCAAAGCCAGGACCACCCCAAAAGGTGGCCAACAGAACAATTCTGCCACTGGATGTCCCCAACTGTGACAGGGGGAGTTCGGGACAGTTCCAGGTGACACAGAACTTGCCACTGGTTCGGTGCTTAGTCGGTGGGATTTAGGGCTCCTGGCCTACCTCCGTTTCGAAGGTGGTTGGGGTAGGTTCTGAGGGTCTAGAGTCTAACCACCGAACCTGAGGATCTGGTTGGATCCCTATCTAAGTTCTTCCACCTGTTTGTCCTTTGTTGTGGGCTTCTCCCCCCATCCCATGGACCGGTGCTTCGAAAGAAGGTTCACCTGGTCCGCGATCCTACGGCTGTTTCACCGAGTCCAGCGAAGTGAGGTGATCCCAATAGAGAGTGGCATGGTGTCCAATACACGTTTCATGGGGTAGTGGCACGGTGTCCAATATATATGTTCTACGTGGGGATCTACTTTTCTATCTATTTGGGGTTCTCTATGAGTTGAGACTACTAAAGGTGTAATCAGGAAGGTACGAGAACCCAAAACGGCTAGAACATGCTGGAACTGTAGGTGGATAGAACATCAACAAGATCAGACCCAGGTTTCTCGAAATGTTCTAGCTAGGCTTCAGTGGACACATGACGGTCAAAAGAATCGGCAAACATGTGCTGACAACTACTGTCCGTGACTGACGGTCTGACGGTTTAAGCGCACTTGTTCTTCCCTGCATGGTACCATATACTTGGACCATCCAAGGGGTGTCCAATGGAGATCCATTTTCAGGTCCATGAGTAGTGTAGGATAGTCATGGATAGTCCATTGGGCATCCCCCTTGGATGGTCCTGGTACCAACAACTGCTCTGATTGAAAGCCATCCGCACTCATCCGCACAAAACGGCTCTCATCCGCTGTGGCCACGACGTCTCGCCGTGCACGGGGTCGCAATTCAAGCCTCTTGAGGTCGAGCTGGCCGAGGTGAGACTCTCTTGAAGCACTCCATCACTGATGGTATCTGCCACTGTACACTCCCCAGCCAGCACTCATGGTTACAGGGTATACCCAAACCTCTGGTTTGAACATCCCTACTCCATCAGTATCTAGTTGGCCGGACAAGCCATGGTAAGTCGGACTTGGAGAAAGAAGCACTCGATCTGTACTAAGGTTTGGTCATGGTCTTGCAGTAAAAGATGAAGGAATGATATGGAATGATGTCTGTCTGGGTCCACCAAAGGAAGATGTCAGTGCTGAAACCACCTGCAATTGAGCTTTTGAGAGCCGTGTTTGATCCTACAAAAAATATGATAATATATCGCGTCCAATCAGTCCCGGGTGGAAAATGGGAACCTCCAGTGGAGACGGAGACGGAGACGGGGAAACACCGGATCTGATCCGGGTGTCTGTTCCGGTTCCGACCGAACCTGAAAAGCCATGGACCACCAGGTGGGTTGACCCTCCCAATCCCACCAAAAGCTGTTGCAGGTGCTCCAAGGACTTCGTTGGGTACGAAATGGCGGCCTTCCAGTTCTTGCTCTCCCACTGTGATCGACTGGACCTGCGCTGGCGCGCGAGATGGCGCATCCAGAGTGGAGTGTTCCCCTTTTGGGATAGCAAATGTGGTTCCGAATGACCCAACTATACAGACCTGTGTTGTACAGGTCTTACGGAACTCATGTCTTCCTGGATCCGGGAGGTTATATAACAACGAGCAACAGCGCACTCATGGAGGTTGTCAAGGGCTGAAGTGGACATCATAAGACATGGACCTATGGATGTCTATTAGGTGAAGGGCTTACTACTTTGTCTTCCTCAGCTGCAGGCTTTCCTTCAAGCATGTCTTCCTGACCACAAATGGGGTGACAACCCGGGCCCCCATCAAGGCCATTGAACACACCTGGCGAATCCTCCACGGCATCCCGGCAATTACAGTCATCCAATTTTGAGAGGTTCGTGAAGAAGAATGCTACGACATGATGCGACCCTTTGTTCAAGCACGGAACTATAGAAGAATCTAAAAATAAAAACTGCACATTGAGGTTCAACATGTCACCAGAATCCATCTCTTTGCTCACGAGGAGGATGGGGTCACTCAGACCATCTCAACAAGGGTGAGAGGAGCCTACCAACTGTTGGAGTTCAACGTACGACGCTCCAAGGGAGTCCCAGTCACTCATTTTGCCACATTTTACCCCTATAGGTGACTTCCAGGGTGGGGTTTCTCATGAGTCACGACCCCTCATCTGACCATCGGCATATCCAAAGCAAGTCAGAGTCATCCGCATCTCAGACAGCTAGCACTAATTCTGGTATCAACGGCTTTGGTGACCGAACGATGGAGAAACCGGACATTTTGAGGTCTCACTGGTCTCACTATATCCCTCTGCTTGAAAAAAAAGCTCATCTCCTCATCTCCACCCCTCCTCTTTCACCAAAACCCGAGTCCAAGACACCGAAATGTCATACCAACCCAATTCACCTGCCAGGCTCGATAGACCGCGCGGCGGTTTCCTAGCGGTACTCTGTGCGCCGCACAAAAAACACACGGACACCGGGGCGGTTTGGTACCGCCGCGGTTTAGGGGCTCCTGCCCTTGGAGCTTGTGAACAAGAAACACGTTTGTCTCAGCGTTTTAAAGGGCAGGAATCTTTGATCCTTGGTGTCCTTCCTGTCAAGAAACGTCCGACGATCTGAAAATCACGCTCGTGGCAAACATTGGCAATCATATGTGTGTCCATGGCAGCAATTGACTATAAGTTTCTTTGTCTAATTTCAAGCAGAACATCGCAACCTCTGGTTGCTCCCTCTTGGCGCTGTGGAAATCCCACAACAGTTCTCTTTCAGCTAGGTTTTGGTCGCCTCCTCTGAATCGCCTCATGGAAAACATCCTCATGGGTGTTCACCCAAGCTTGTGCGTCCGTACATGCCAGATCCTTGACACTTCTTTACATGAGGCAGTTCAGCAGTTATGGGTGTTGGCAAATGAAAAACTGCGCACCTATAATTTCAAGTTGGAAAGTTGTTGTCGATCCTTTCTCAGACGTCCATATGCGAAATGAACAGTCCCTGCTTGCAAAAAAATGCTAAGGAAATGCACAAAACTGGTCTTCCAAGTATTCGCTTCCATGGCTGTCTGAGAGAAGGTTGCTAATTGTTTGCAGCTCCTGAAGCCGCTAGAAGCCTACCCGGTGCCACGCGGTGAATGGAGATATTACAGGCCAGAAAAAAATAAGTAAATAAAAACGACACACAATGTACAGGTTGACCGTTGAGTGACTGGAAGTTCATCACATCCAAGGTGGGCAATGATGGGTCCTACACTCCTAAACCAGGATAACATGAATTCACCAGCATATGGGCCCCCATAATTATGCATGATGTTTTTGATTGTCCAAATATTTTTTTTGCTGATACTCCTTCTTCAGCAAAAACACGTCCTGTTCACCAACAAACCTGAAAATCACTCCTCTTACTCCGCAACCTCCGACGTCATCCTAGTTGTCTTCACCCCATTTCACTAGAACAAAGACTCTTTCAAACCACACCCCATCCAAACCCCCATGCAAATCTTCATGGACCTACCTTTGCCTTCCGACATCTTATCCAAAGATGAAGAACAGATTGAAGATCCAAACCACCTCACCGACCAACCACCCCGGTAACCACCCTTCCAGTTCCCACCCACTGATCACAACATTTTACAACCACTGATCAAAACGGAGGTCGCCCGCCGAACGGAGAGACGGTCCCGCGGTGGCGGGCGGTGGCGCCTAGGTGGGCCGCGGGCAGAGGATCCGCCAGTGCGTAGTGTTCGTTCTCCACCGCCGATTGGCCGAGATAGAGGCGCCCTTGCGCCTCTCCTTCAACACAAGAGACGAAGAGAGAACGAAAGAGCATATGAGATCGACATCTGGGGTCGGCATCCGAGGATGAGGGTAACAACACTCGAAAACGATTTCCGGTTCATAAGGATGCTTCTGGATAAGACCACTTCGATCTATACATATAGATTTAATCAAAAGTATTTATATGTACTTAGTGAACCCTGGCTAGCCGGTTCTCTGAACCACCAGATTCAAAACAATTTTGAACACACATTGTTCTGCAGCATGAACTTCGTGCCCCTTTCAAACACTTATTCAAGCATATTCAAGCCATCAGAGTGCAAAAATTCGATCTGCTCAGTACGAACTGGCACCGGGCTCATGACGTACCCTCATTTCCTCATGTCTTGGTACAAGGACGAAATTGTCCAGGAATGTCCAGGAAGAGGGCGGCAGTCGTTAAAAACAGTGTCTCCACAACAATGCTGCAACATAATGCAGCATCTTTGTTTCCTTATCCAATCAACTGTTTGTCCTCCAGCTTCTGTTTCATTTGCTCACTTGCATCTATCAAGCTGTTCCTTATCACCGCTACATCTTGGTCCACAACCATGTGCACTGTCAAAAAAATGGATTTTGGAGGGGGTAGCATATATATATATATGTGTGTGTGTATAATATATATATATATATATGTGTGTGTATTTATATATAGACATTTATATATTTATACCCTCAGCGGATAGAAAAGTAAAAATTGTTTGAAAACATATTGGAAACTGGACGGCGTCCGACTTAGGTGACAAAGTCTTGTTCTCAATGGTTGGGGCGATTGGGTGGAGGGGCACAAGTATAGTATCGAGTGCTTCTGGTTTGAGGAGCATGAAGTGTGTGAATGATGACTCAGTTGGAGTTGGGATGGCCCTGAGTCGGAGCCTCCTTGATGAACTTCCAGGTTCGGTCGATGATCTGTGTCCCTGCCTTGACCTTAACTTTTTTGCCGCCTGGAATGCGTTGTGATTTTCACATAGGTCTGCATGATTTTTCCTTGTTGCCTTGCTGCTTGACTCGCTTCTTCTGGCGAACCACGGAGTCATGTCGAACACGGGACCGTCCGCTGTCAGTGTGCAAAATCACGCGCTTGTCCTACAGCCATCTTCTGCCCGTTGGCTCCAAGCATTGGTATGTCCTTGCTGACGACCTTGGCAGGTATGACGCGCCACGGCAGAGGCAAGCAAATGAAAGAAGAAAATGCTGCTGTGAGACCCATTGTAAGGATGCAGAGTGTTGACAAGATGATGCTACAAGTGCAATGCGCACCCTTTTTGGAAGTGCACATATAGCTGCATGCTGCACCAACACAATGCCTTCATCACTTTGCTTCGGCAGACAGACACTCACTATGCATTACTCGCCGATCAAAGAAAGGAAATCTTGAACTGCTACCAGCGTCATGGCTGCAGCAGCCTCGTCGGCTACAAACTCATCCTCAGGCAGCCTCTCCATGGCTTCATGAAGACGAGGAAAATGGTCATCTGCGCCATCTGCATCGTGAGGAAGGCCTGGCAAGGTCTCAGGGTTTGGCACTGGAGCAGAGATCTCTTCGCAGGAGAGGGTGAACCCAACTCGATGAAGTCGACGGGATTGCGCTTCAACTGCTTGAACATATGCCCGGCCTTCTCGTTTTTGACTTCGACTTTGCGTCAGAGGGAACTTCTTGTCAAACATTGTGGTCTCTCCTCAAAACGCGCCGCCTCACATTTTCTCTCCGATCTAACCCCGTTCCTGGGAACAGGGCGTCGTGAGACTTTGTGGAAGCTGCCCTCGGTCTCCTGCCATCCAACCGCACGCTTCCGCTTGAGGTTGAGCTCGAGCTCGAGCTCCTCTTCTTCTTGCTGCCAGCGGTTCTTTTTCTTGCGATTGTCCTTCTTCCGACTGCGTTCTCTGTCCTTCTCGGCCTCTACTGCCTCCTTCACGCCAACCTCTCGGCTCCCGTCCACCCCAGGAGCCAGCTCGGTCCCACGAGCTCGCAAGGCCGCCAGTTCGTCCTCCACTGGGGCAGTCTCCAAGTTTCGCACCCATGCCTTGTCGGGCCCGGCAACTCCTGGCTTCTTGCCTTTGTACCCGTGCGCAGGAGGTCGTCTGCGCGCCTGTCTGCCGTGCACCCTGGTGGACAACGGTGTACTCTCAACAACATCGTAGGATGTCCACTCTGGTGCTTGAGCATGCAAGCTCTCTCCCGTCGTGCCTGTCGGCTTCAGGAGGATGTGTCCTGCCGCCTTGCAACTCGCTCCGTAATAGCTGCCCTCCGTGACCTCGAGCATGGATCCGATGTCTCGTCCAGGGGGGAATCCGATGCAGCTCCAGTTCTTCCCCCGCCAACCGAGGCTCTCGATCCCCAAGAGCAGCCACAACCGGAGCCCTAACCCTCATAGGACCTACCCTCATAGGCCCCACTGCTCCTGCTTTGGCTTTCGCCTTTGCCCTCAGCTTTGGCTTTGCATGGCTTTGGGAGCCATTGCAACTAGTAAGGAGCATGGTATGGCCAAAGCCGTCCTCGCTCCCTGCGCTTGGCTCCTTTGCTGCCTCGCCTGCGCTGACCTTGATGAGGACTTCTCGAACGTCCTCTGCCTTTGCCTCGTCGGGCTGATTCTCCTCTGCCTGAGCCCCTGCTGGGAGGAGGATGATCGGGTGATCGTGGCCTCCTAGGCGCAGGTGGGGGCGTTGGGAGATGTGCGAAATGTCGGGCGACAGCTGGCTTGGGAGCAGGACGAAGTCCTGCTCTCAACAACCCTGGCTGTCCGTTCCTCGCCGGACTCCGGAGTTTTCTCTTTCTCCTCTTCTTTTTCTTTACCTCCTCTTGTGGTGATTCTCCACGTCCACCTTCTCCAACCTTCTCGTCCTCTACTGCAGCAATGGCAAGCACGCCAGGAGCTTCCTCACTCCCGTCGTCTCCCAAGTCAGCCTTGACCTTCGACTCCTTGGGAGCTTCTGCTAGCTTCCCGGATCCACTGCTAGCTCCACCAGTCGCCTCAGGAGTGTTCCCACTCCCGCTGTCAACAGCCGCTTTGCCTTGGTGACCTTGATCGGGTGCAGGAGCTTCTTCCCCCTCCTTCTTTTTGATGCGAACTGCTTCCTCGGCCAGGTCGGTTAGGGCACCAGCGCACTCTCTAAGCGCCGAGACAGCTCGACTTTGCTGTCCCAGAACCAGGAGTCCACCGCACTGGACCTCCCGAATCCTCCGCAAAGCCCTGCACCCAGCACAAAGCCCGCTCTCGTTCCCTTCAAAGAGCTGGCAGATCCGGCACACCATTCACTGATGAGCCGAAAACACTGCGGATCCAAGAAACGGTCACTGACATCTTAACCCACGGGGGCGTGAAAACATATATCTTATACATCATATAAATCAAAATATGTATACATAAATATATAATATATAGGCTTATTTATAACAAAAAACATTTACTGTAAATATGTATCAAAAAGCTGTTGCAGGAGATCCACTGGACTTCCCTGCATAATGGGCTTCTTCGGCTCCCCCACCTTGCTGTCCAGACCAATAGAGACCAATCTTCGCAGACTCCGTGCTCCTGGCGACGGAACATGTCGAATCCGGGATTCACCATTGGATTCACCATGGTTTGGCGGCTGTGCCTTGGTTGATTGGAGGTGATTCTGAGATGGTGGGTCAAAAGTGGACCTTTTCACCGGGAGCCCATTTTGGTAGGGTGACCTCCCAAAGGTCGTCTATTCTGTTCATGTTCGGTGGGGTCTTGAAGCATAGATTAGATGTTGCCTGCCACGTACTGGAAGATCGGCGCCTAATAATCCTAGTATTACTGTTGGATCCTGCCCCCCATCCAAACAAATATACGAACCGATGGCGCCGATGGCCATGTCGATTTCTTTCACGGAGTTGGAAGCATGGTTGACATTCATTAGGTTCCCGTTTGATCCATGTTGGGTCCAAACCTCAATTGAGTTGAATCGATTTCAAAATCTCCATTTCACTTGTTCTTTTTCAGATGATCACAAGGTGGGCTCTTAAGCAAATCCTGCCGTCTGCTACGCCCATGACCATTGTCTCACATCCTTCGCCTTCGCGATGATTCCAAGACATGTGCAGAATTCTAAGCTACTATACTATGTATATAGTTATACTATATGTTGAGCAGAACCATCCAGAACAATCCGTTTTTAGATAGCTTCTCTAAGTATCTTCACGTGACTGCTTCATGTGGGTGTTATTTTTACCGTAGTCAGGCCGGGAAGTTTGAATAGGTGGTATGATTCGAGAGTATGATTCGGTGTCTGATTCGGGAGTATGATTCGAGGGTATGATTCGCAGCTTTGAAATTGTATTGTTGGATTGGCTGGACTTGCAGCAGTGGACCCACATCTGCGCCGTGAGGCAGTAGACAAGCAGCATCTGTTGGTTGCTGGGCAGACTACTGTGTGGAGGTGCGTGATTCAGGTGTGAATCGTGCATGAATCGGGATGGCCATTAGATTCTGCAAAATAAGGCGATCCTTTGGCTCTTCTTCCCAAGGCAGAACACATGGGAACATTGGTACCCCTGGGATGTGAGCCTTTGCTCCCACAAGAAGACAGACAATTTTTGCCAAATTGAGTGCCTGTGGATCACAAAATTGCCAACGTCATGCACCATTGGTTCATGGACATCTACCAGGAGGAAGGAAGTGCCCGGTCTCCAGGCCATCTCGTCCCACCACGCGACCCTTGACCCGATAGTGCCCACAGCCGTCGTTGGCAGAAGCTGCAGCGGACAAGCGTGGGACGCATTTACCTAGGGTCAATGTATTTCCTCATCCTCATGTAGTCCCTGTTACGAAAGTCGGTTGGTTTCTGTGCAACTTCGACCGGTGTAGAAAAAAACACGGTCCGGTGTGAGGGTTGGGTGGATCGGAGGGGGTTTGGTGGACCCCCATGCATTGCTGATCATTTCTGTAGAATTCTGTAGACCTCCTTGAAGGCATTCAAGCCCATGCACATGGGGCCAAGCCTTTTTACACTATTTTACACTTCTATGAGGCTCTATGGGGGGGGTTGGAATCGACTACTGTGGCCCCACAAGTCCATCCACCGATTTAAACCGATCCTACCGATCCGACTCCTGGAGGATGCGTCTGCGAACGAACGAACGAATGGATCGTCCTCAAGTGTTGCACCAGGGGGGGCGGGACGACACCGGCAGGCCTCAGGCGCTGTCGAAGACCCGAGCGGCTCGGGTTGGTTGGTTGATGGAAAAGCAATGATCCCACGAACAACATCCGAGAATGGTCCCAGGGAATGGCCCAGGATGTCCGAGAATGTCTCCATGAGCTTTCCCAAAAACATGTTGTTAAGAACAATATTCCAGAATGTCCCAGAATGGGTCCCAGGCCAGGGAAAGCTCCTGGAGACGAATTCTCGAATCAAAGGCCATTTTCGGGGTCTGGGGTCGAAGCTTTGTTCAGGGACCGGGAGCCAGGGCTGTTTGAGCCAAACGGAGCGGAGAAAGTGGGGTAAATGCCGAACTGATTCTTCTGCTGACACTCCATGGGACTGCCATATATGCCTATAGTATACATTAGGATACATTAGGGTGGTTTGAGGGGTCAATAGGCATATATGGCATACTTGGAGTGTCTGGATTGTTTTCTTTTCATTTTCTGGGGTGTCTCCAATCTCACGATCAGGATGTTAAAATTAAAGGGTGTCTGTTCCTGGGAAGGCTCTGACTGGTTCTTTTCAGTCGAACGAAACCCGGGAAGATGGACAACATCATTTGACCCTGTCAGAGGAGGTGAGTTTCGTTTGAAGGGCCAAGATCTGAAGACAATAACAAGACATCTTCCATCATCTTCCTTTCGTCCCTCTGCTTTTGGGAAGGGTCGTTTCTGCTTATCGTGTCTGATCCAAAAAGACCCCAAACATGGACCCCTGATGACTCCCAGCCAATCCCAGACACTCCGTTCACAGCCCCTACTAAAGGAATTCCCTGACCATGAGGATATGGATGTTTATGGATGTTTGAAGCTCCGACGCCGAGCATTCGGGTCGATTCGGGTCGCGTCTGAGTGAGTTATAAAGGTCGACTCGGACTCCCGGATTCTCCAAGCTCCGCTCCTCACTCCACATGTCTTCCATGTGGAAACCCACCCGACTGGACACACTTCAGAACCCCCCGTTTGTTCGGGTTCGATCGGACACTCTAACCCGGAAGAGTCCGTAGACTGACTCATGAACTCCGAAAGTCATACTTCACAAAATCAAAGATCATGGAGTAACAATGACTGTTTTCCTCTCTCTCATGAGACCTACTCCACTGTCACCAAACGGTGCGTCTTCCACCCGGTCTGACCGCGAAGTCGTCTCACGCCGTGTCAGGACCTCCGGGGTCGGTCGCTGACCGCCGTGTCAGGACGCTGGGAGCCTGGCTGGTTCGGACAAGTGAACTTTCCCTCGGGAGAGAGCTCCATCTCATACTCGTCGGAGGCACGGAAGGCCCGATCCAGCTGCCTGGGGTGGGCGATTTGAGGCGATGAGGCGGGGCGGGAAGGCGAAGCAAAGAACTCAATGAGTGTCAAGTAATTGTGGGGGGCCAATGAGTGTCGGCCGAAAATGCCACGAATTCGAGGACTTCTGAATGACCGAAGGATTCACATGTCCGAGTGACCTATATAACATACAGATTACTATTACAGATTACATCAGATTAATAGATTCTACCAAACGCGCTTCTCTTTTGGGGTGCCCTCTCCAATGGAGACCTGAGACAGTCATAGTCTAGTGTGGAGATCTCCGACCCCGAACGGACGCGATGGCAGCGCTCCGTCTACTCCGTCGACCGGATCGCTCCCTATGTCTCTCGGATCTGCCTGAAGGCGATGCCGAAGATGCCGTCGAGGCCATCGGTGCATGGCATGCTTTTCTCCTGAGGAGAGCGCACTTCGGACCGTGCGAGGATCGTGTGTTTCTGAATTGGCCAACACCGGGATGGGGGGGACGGAAGCGAACCCTGGAGCGTGCAGCCGGATACCCAGATTCTCCTCCCAGGTAGGTCAACTATCAGGGATACCTTGACCCACAGCTATGTGGCAGGAACTCGTGGCATGCATAATCCAACTAGATGAAACATGACCCCAAAAGACCCTGGACCCGAAGCAACTGCTTACGCTTCGGTCCAGACTTGTCGTCCTCCCTTCGGCCCCCCATTCCAACCGTTCCCGGGACCCTTCAGTAGTTGAGCGGCACAGGGTAGTGAGTTGGGCGCCTTATGGGACACCCTATACTCAAACACCTATAGGACTGGATGGAGCACCTACAGGACGCTAAAGAAAAAGGGGCTCCTGTCCATAACAAACGAACGGAGCAAGGGGCATCGCTACGAGTTCGGAGCAAAGGGCAGAAGCGGGCAGAACGGAGCAAGGACGCTACAGCATACTCTCTTAAACACCTATATTTGGATAGAGCGCCTATCCAGGAGATCAAAGACAAATACATACATTCCAGCAGCACCTTTGGTGGTTTCTAGAGACCCCCTGGCCAGATGTGTTCCATCCAATAACCTTTTGGAAGTGGTGCTGATTCAGTTTAGTGGACATGTTCTGTTTTTCGCTGGTTGGTGACTAAATGGATAGACTTGGAGGCAAGTAGCAACACTCGTATGGCAGAAGGCACCGCATAGACGGAGCCCATAGTGCTCACAAATAGCTCTGTGCAGCCACCGAACCAACGCTTCCATGGTAGGCTCAACATATTCTAAGGTGCTGATTGTGCATTGCTGATCAGGAAAGTATGCATGGTCACTCCAACCCTATTCCAGGTTTTGGGTCATCGTTGGTAGTAGAACAAACTGTTAAACTAGAGTCTAGAGGACTTTTTGTCCATCCGTTTGTTCACTTCCAAACCAGCTGGAGTCTCCATAAGTCTGTGGCTCCTGCTGCATGATGCTATAAGCTGCCTTGGGGATCGTGAAGTTGCCCACCTGCGCCATTCGAGGTCTGTCTCTCCTCACCGTGGCGGCTGAAAGCCGGTCAGCCAAAGGTACACCATTTCTTGCTACATCGACGCCATTCCCAGAGCATCGACGTTGGAGGTGCTTGTTTCAAGGGGTCGATCGGCACATGGGTCTGAGGCCTCCAACCAATGGGTGTTGATTTATTGTATGTGTATTTCCCTTCTTCCAGGTCTTTGGGTTGCCTCCCCC